GGTAGGTGTCTCCTGAATCACAGCAGGGTAAGACTTCCAACACCTAAGTTTGGCTGGCCCATCGCAATACTCTGCACACCAGTGAGACCAGACTGACGATGGAAGGCAAATGTTCTGTCCAGGCCAGCACGCAAAGGTGCTGCAATTCTGGAAGAAAAGTTTTCCCCATGCCTGCACACTGTCCTGTTTATCACAGATATTTTGCAGCCACCCAGTTGAATATGCGACCGTTACCAGAGGAATGTCTCTGCGCTGTCCGCGTAGGCACCATGGTGTTTGGTTTCTCGGTTGGATACGTAGTTGTTGCTAACGCAGTACTCTCCGTGTTGCTGTCTGCTGGTGTTACGACTCCGAAGCCAGAACTCGGGTAACACGTCTGGTACTGACTTTGGCCAAGGATCGTGTACGTAGGATATTCCTGTTGGAGGAAAGGATTGGTTATGATAGGACACTTCTTTCAGAAAACACTCTATATTGAGATGGTTTTTATCCTAGAATACGCCTGTCAAAGAGAACTCCCAGCAACAGCACAGTCCCACTTTATGCTATTTCCTTCTGCATAGGTAAGATATCCCCAAAAGGGGCTGAGAGACCTGAGTCCCCAGCGTGCCCCCGCACGGGCTGGTCCCCAGCAAACACAGAGCCACTCCTCTGCCTCCAGCTTCTTCAAAACTGAATTCATTACAAACGATGCGACAGCAACAGGGGAGTATCGCGCAGACGCCACGGTGTGAGGCCGCTCTGTCTGTGCTCTGGAATTTGTGGGTTTGTCTTGTGTTTTACTTTCTGATACCAGATGTACTGACAGCCACAGAAAGGGGTCTTGGCACTGGCCGAGGGTGCAATCCCAGCCACAAGAGCTACAGGATGAACTGCCCGGACTCACGTCCTGACTTCAGCAAGCAATTATTTCGCACACTGTGGTGAAAGGAATCCATTTATGAAGACTGTTTACTCATTTAGGAGGAGATCACTGAACACCTGAAGCTGTGCTTGAGGATTTTAGTTTCTGCTACCGATAGCAAAGAAAGCAGCCACCCAAATATCACATCGCACGCTTCTGGCACACTGTGTGCTCCTGACTGCCTCAAGGAGCAACCTGGATTTGTGAACCAGGTCCCTTGGTCTGCACTACTGACAGAGAATCTCTTTTTCCCATTACAGCTCCAAGAAAGCTCACGTTAATGAAAGAACCTTAAAAAGGGACAGCATAAGCATACAAGGATTTTGGTGCATTCATTGCATTTTCCACATTTCCTATATTCTCCTTCTGCAAAGTTGTGACTTTAAAGAATTCCTTTGCGTGTCTAAATATCCGGAACGGCAGTTCACTGCTGGCAGTGCTCCGTATCACCCGCAGCAGGTCACAGTCAGAGGACAGGGCTCAGTGCTAGCTGGGCTGCAGGGCTTTTGACTTTGTTTTATTCCAGCACCATCAGAATGCACCTCCTATTTTACTGGGGGGTTTTTTTGTTTGTTTTGCTTGTGCACAACCTGTTTTCCTCTTCTTGCTGAGGGAGAACAAAGGCATTCAAAATCCTCCTTGTAAGTTTGATTCTCAAATTAGTTCTGTTGTTTCTTCTCCAATGTCTGTGTGTCAGAGATCTCAGTGCCCTGTCTAGGATTCACCACACAATCTGCAGACAAGGAAACAGCTCTGAACAGATGAAGTTTGCTGCCGAGGTCAAAGGGAAAAGCATCAAAGGGAGTAACACACAGAGCCCTGCAACTCTGGTACCCACTGTGCTCCATTTGAAGTGATACGAATATTTGTCCTTCCTTTGTTAGTTTTGAGTAACACCTTAAAGAAAGGTGAAGGAAATGCTGCACATAAATAGAACGTGGAGGAAGTTTTACCTGGGAGATGCTGGCTACTGCTGACGTGGAAATATTGACAACCGTTGAGGATGTAGAGACTGGACTGGCATTGGTGGTTGATGCTGTAAAATTAAGAATTACTGCATTAAATGCTTCTAGAAAAGTATGAGAGACAAGACCAAGCTGTGAAATCAGTACTCACTAGGCTTCTGTGCAAGCATTTGTGCTTCCAGAAGCACTCTGCTTGTAACAGCCACAAGAGAGCTGGGGTGTATTTTGAAACCAGTTACATTTCAACCGGGCTTACGGGGAAGGAGAAATAGCACATCACTTTCAAATATTTCAGAAAACTTTTCCCTCCATGTCTGCCAAGCAACTGGAGTTTAATTAAAATGTTTTCACACCTTTACTAAAAGTTTTGAGGACAATTCATGATGTTCAATTATTAGCAGTTGAAAATTAATCAGAATAAATAAGTAAAGTTGATGTAAACATGTTTAAATCAGTTCTGATTAAAAAAAAATCTCTGCATTGGCCTTAGCATATTTAATCTAATTAGATCAAAAAATTAAGGAAATAGTAAAAATATTTCAGACAGTATAAAAGACTGCTGCTTCCTACTGGAGAAAGCAAACATCTCCCCACATCCCTATGAGACTACAATTGTTTTTTGGATGAGACTTTCTGAAATCATTTGTCAACAGCTTGTAGAACAAACTATTAGAGACATGTAGTTGTTAGTATGAATTTTAAGATGTTTAATAGCCTTCATGTCACTGCATTCGGTTCTTCCAAAACACAGAAGAGGCTGCTAGAGCACCTTCTGGGAACACCAGCCGTTCAGCACATTCGGTGGTTTTACAGCCACAGAGCCACTGCCCACACATGGGTTTTAGGACCCTCACAGATTAGTGAAAAAAAATGAAATCAGCATGAACAAAATCAGGATGTACTAAACCGGGTGCCACCAAGAAATATTTTCTTTTGCTAAACCTTCTTTCTCTGTACACAATTAGAACCAAAAATCATTTTCACATGTTTATGAAAAGACTTGCAGAAATCCACAGCGTCGCCTACTTCAGCATGACTCCGAGGAAAGCCCTCATTTTCTGTGAATAACACTCATGCAGAATTCACCCCAAGACTGAAGAACTCAAGCTTCTGAAGGCTTCAGCCTTTCTACCCCAGGGAAAACCCCACCACAAACTCCGAAAATGTTTGTTGTGTTATGGCAAGCACAGATACTACCTGGTGAACAGCTCCTGGAAAGAGGAATGGATCCAAAATATGCCTCAAAAAAGATGAAAAACAAAAGAAATATATCTTAAAAGAGGTGTAGAAATACACAGTATTTACAAGAGGTGAGAAATGCGAAGGGCGGCATCTCTGCAGAAGCAGAAATGAAGGTAAGTCATTAGTCCTGGGAATGCCCTCACAGATAGGAGTGTTCAAAAGCAGTGTTCAAAGAGATGGGAGAGAACTGGGAGGGAGAACATTGAGAAAAAGGAAAAAAGGCTGCACTGAACAGCGATAACCGTAATGAAGATCCTCAAGCACCTACAGTGGCTACGCAGCTACTAGAGGCACAGCTGTGAGAGTAAGGCACCCGTCACAGACACTCCTCCTAAGAACTGGGTAAAACTCCTCCCAGTTACCCGTTGCGGAAATGAGCAATGTTACTACCGTAAGAAAACGTCACTTCCTAGGGCACTGCGAAGAGCAGCTCTCCAGAAAGGATCCTCGCTAACGCAGAGCTAGCCTGCGCGAAGCTGGAGGAGACAGATTATTCTAGCACCTCTCTCAAGACTACCACAGAGAGCAAACAGAAAGTGATTCTCATCTGTAGTGTTCTGAAGAGGCTGCTGCTCCATGGAGATAGATCACGGAAGTTAAGAAATCACAGAAAAAAGATTCCAAGTTCTGGTCAAAACACAGATTCCCTCCTTGGAGCTGCATTGTTTATCCTAACTCTGCTCTCCTCCCAACATTTTAACTACCCTTTGTCTATACACATCAGATCTTTACAAACAGCTCCCACTACACAGATTAACCAACTCTTTCTGCACTTGGGGGTCAGTTCCTTTTATCTCGGAATGGGCCAAAAACACGCAAAAATGTTTGGCATGGTTGTACCAAAAGGGAGCACTTCACAGTCTCAGGTTCAAAAGACCAGCAAACACAAGTACTGCCGTGAAGCGGCCGCGACTCTTTTCTCCTCTCTTTCTCCCCCACTTCCAGACCTCATCCTCAGATGTATATCCCTGCCTCCTCTCCCTTTTTCATCCCATTTGGTTTTGCTCCAGTTGTTTTCAAAGATGTTTCAATCTGCTTCACGGGCAGGGAAAGGAAACGGCCATGAATGCATTTCATGTTTCACTCGGCTGTTTTGCTCTCGCAGCGAAGGGAGAGGTGAGGCAAGAAGCTCCCACTCCTCCCACATCGCTCCCAGTGCTTCCAAGCGCCTCTGCGACGTACCATGGCCACAGCTTGGGTGTGTACAAAAAGCAAAGTTCTCAGTGCCTAAGTGCATCTGACCGTTTCCCAAGGTTCAAACACCACGTTGCTTCAGTCCAGCATCTGCTGCAGACCCAACCACATCCCTGCACCGAAACACACCTCCAGTGGGACAGCGGCGGCGTGCAGCCGTGGGTCACCCTACTGTTTGGATTGGAGGAAAAATACAGATTTCCAAGAGACTGCTAACAAAGCACCTTTGTCCATCCTTCCAGCTCCTGCTCCTTGCACCACCCCAAGTACTGACCTGACCCCTCAGCAGGCTGCTGGCTAATTTGACAAGAAAGAAATGCAGCAAATCCAAAAAAGGAGGAGTTTCCTGCCACTTTGCAAAAAGCTTTTCAGAAAAGTGATAGCATTCACACAATTCCGGTGACTTTTCCACACTTGCGAAGAGCAGCCTGAAGGGAAACTCTCCTCAAATCACACATTCTCACAGCAGCACAGATCAAACGTTTTAAAATCCTTCTGCAGAGAAGGCATCCGTCTCATCACCCCAAGGATTCCCGTGCTTGACGTGGTAGCTGGCTGGCAAACCTGCCAGCGGTCGCGTTATGCAGAACCGTTCCTGACTCTTGGCCGGTGCTATAGAACATGGGAGCTGTCCCGCTGCCGGCTGGAGCACCCGGAGGAGACTTACGCTTGGAGGAAGGCAGGAATTCCAGTGTTGTGTTGCTCACGTCATGAACGTGAAAAGCAAATGAAGGATAAACATCACACCGGGCCGTTTAATGCCACAACGATGCAAGCTGAGCAAGTAGCACGATACGCAGTGAAAGACAGGGTAAAATCCACCTGGGCGCATTTTAGGAGTTACTTCGGCACTCACTCATAGGACCACATTCAGTCTGGGGCTTCAAGCACAAGAAATACGTGGAGAAAATTCAGCAGGTCTGGCAAAGAGTGAGCAAAACCATCAGGGGGGCTGCCGGGGGGAGCGGGACTGCTTTGGGGGACCTGCCAGCAGCCTGCAGGCACCCGCACGGAGCTCGTCACAAAGAGAGCCCGGCTCCTTCTGCAGGGGCACAGCAGGGGAAGAAAACGGGCACAACCTGGAAGAGGGAATGCTCCGAGCTGACAAAAGAAAACAAGTTTCACCATGATGATGTCAGGCACTGGAACTGGCAAAACGTCCGTCCTCAGAGGTTTTTGAGACCCAACTGGATAAAGCACTGAGCAACCTGGTTCTGAATTCAGTGTCAACTCTTCTTTGAGCAGGAGGCTGACCTAAAGATCTCCTGAAGTCCCTGAATTATTGTATAAAAATATCACACAAGAGATAGATTAAGAATTCCTGAAGTGCTTTTTAAAAACTACAAAGAGACAAATTTTCACAATTCATCACCCAAACATAAATGGCAAAAACCCAAAAAAAAAAAAAAAGTTATCAGTTTGCACATATTTGCCATAAGCAACAATATTCCATTAGTCAGCTAACTGGCACGCTTACTCCTAAAAATTGCTCTGGAAACTGGTGAAATTCAGCATCTGGGTTCTTAGAGGTGGCATTTTCAGCAGTTAAAATATTTGTACGCTATTTCTATACTGAGAAATTAACTTTCTAGCAGATCTACCAAGCTGGGGTGTGTGTTTGTGTGTAATATGTAAGAGCCATCTACCTCCAGAAGTAATGAAAACAAATTTAAAAAAACCCCAAATCCAATGTCAGCTTATTTCCTGACATCAAGCTAAAAACCACCAACAGAGAGCACGAGCTGCAAGAGCATTCCCAGCAAAGGCATGCAAGAATACAACATTTAGTCTCCTCTCCCCTTCCCGTTTGCTCTCCACCCTGTTAAATCCATCAGCGTGGCACCACCAAGCCAGCCTGGTGCGTACAGAGGTATGCAGCAAATACAAAATCAAACACATACACACGCACAGAGAAAAGAGACAAAGCATAAAGAAGCATGCACAAACCAAGAGCAAACGTGCAAGCCTCTCTATTTGTGGTATCTGGACTCAGTTAGGTGGAGAGAGATGCAGATAAAAACCATGCCAAGTTACCTTCAATGGAATAAGAATAATGTGCTGGGCTGGGCTGGCTTGTGGTTAACCCTGTAGTGCAGGTAAAAACACTGTGCTGACTTGTAGATGGAGTCTGAATTAAACCACTTTCAGGTTTCATACCTGGCCACAGTGCACCTGAATCAGATAAATTGGACCAGTTACAAACAAATATACTGGGACCAAGCAGCATGCTGCTACCTCAGATGAAGATTTTTTGCTTGTCACAAAAGCAAGTAACAAATCACACATGGAAAATGTTTAATTTCTGCAACAGTGACTGTCAGGCTGTGCATGGATTAGAGCTGCTGACAAAACTGGCTGGAAAAGAGAAAATTAAGAGCACCAACAAGACCAATTTCCAAAGCTTTCAACTAAAAATCTGTTAGTGTCACAGTAGGACTCACTGCCATGGCAGAAGCAAAGGAACTGCTAAAGCCTCAGATGCTGGGGCTGAGCTGCACAGCGCTGCACAGGACCTCAGCTGGACACAGCAAGCTTGGAGTCGGTATCTATTAAGGTCAAGGTCCACGCTTCCACTATGTCACTGGGCTTTGAGTTGAACATTTTAAAACAAGCTACAAGTCAGCCACTCCCACAGACTGACAACAGTGAATACAGAGCTCAAACAAAAGGAAAAAAAAAAAAATCTGAAAGTTCCCTCTAGACTTCCTGCCACTCTGGAAAGCATTTGTAACAAGACTGAGCAAAGCACTGAGGCGGCAGAGTGACTGTCACTCCCCTGTCCGAGGCACACATGAGCAGGGGGGTTCCAGCTCAGGTGCTGGCTTAAGCTCTACTGTCCTGCACTGACAGCGGTGAAAACAGCATCCCACCGAAGCAGCTCAGCTCAGCCCTGGCTCCTCAGGGCTCTTCAGCCTTTTTGTTTAACTCTTCCCAGACCTACAGCCAAAGTCAAAGGCATCTCTCCCTGACCCTGGCTAGAAAGCAGGAATCGGTTGAGAGGATCTACTTGAAAACAAGCAGGAGTGTGCAAAGCAGAAGGACAAAGGACGTTTGGAGCTAAACACAAAGTTCAGGGCCAGCAGAAAGACCACCCTCCTTGTAAAACCCCCCAAAAGCAGTTCCAAGGCTGCAAAAGCCACCCAAAGCCCTTCACCTGCTCTAGCAGGACGAGCCCTGGGCTACAACCTCAAGTCTCTTACCCAGGAGACTCTACAGGGCTGGGCAAGAGCAGCAACCGCAGCTCGCTCCATGCTGCAGCTTTATCAGAACGAAATTCTGCAACGCCGCTTTGATTATTGACATACCTGATCTCAAACTGCCACCTAGGAGCCAAATTAAGTCATTCACCTATCGGTACAGCCAGGCCAGGGTTTGGATTCTTCAGCCCTCAAACTGCATCTTTGTTAGTGTTTCAAACCTCTAGGACTGTGATCGTTAGCAAACAAAAGGGAAAGACTGATTTAAGAACGTTTGTAGATATATTGTAGAGACTCCAGAATAAAGGGCACGGGAAACAGAGAGATGGGAGCAGCTGCATTTGCTTAGTGGAAAGGGAGCGCCAGAGTCTTCAAATGAGTCATTTCCAGAGAGGACAGTAACCAACAGTTCCCTACGGTGCAAGATAAATGGAGAAGGAGCAGACAGCGACATAATGAGACGGTCACAGGGCACTCAGAAGTGTCTATTCACTGTGACACTGAAACACACACCAACTCGGAATGCTGGAGGAAAACTGTCACAGGGGTGTAACACCAGGTCAGACACACACATCAGAGGTGTTCACAGAGCTGGCTGGATGCAAGCGCAGGAGCTGACTCAGGTTGTGCGTTAAGGCATCTTCCAGCCCCCCCTCTCTTTGTCGTCTCCCAGTACAGATACCTTCTGCTCTCCACACAGCACGGCACACTCCTGGCCTGGCAGCACACATCCTTCCCTCTCGCTCTGCACGGCACTGTTGATAAGCCAGCACAGCCCTGAGGATGACAGAGAGGAAGCCAGGCGAGGGGCAAGGTGACCCCTCCACGTCCAAGCAGCACGGCAGCTGAGGCAGCAGAATGTCCAGGACACGGGTACCTACGTGGAAAGCCCCACACAGGATAGTCCATCGCTTGGGGTTCTTCTTGAGTTAGTGTACACCAGCACATCCACCAACTTACAGCCACCCGTATGCAGCTTGTATGTCACTACTCTCATTTCAATGCTTCTTTAATAAAATTTCTCCAAGACCACAAATATGTCCCATGCAGAACAACACGCTAAACACCCCCAAGAAAGTATCACAGCACAGGGAGAGCTGGCAAACTGGCAAGGGGTCATCTCTTCTCCAAAACCAGCGTCCTGACCGGAGTGATCTCAAGACCATGCTTGTGTTTGTCAGCTTGCTTGAATTTCATACTTAAAATACATCTCCTGTGTTGCAGTTAGATAATCCATCATGCCTTCTTTTTTGGCACAGAAATAAATACACGGTAGAAAGTCATGCAAACCTCTGGAACAGGCTCTTCGATGCTGGTAAAACATCCAACCAAGTCCTCACCTGCTCAATGGGGATTTTGTGAGCTGAAACAATTTGTAGAATTTCCTCTGCACCGCGCTTGATCAGTCCTCCACCCTGCACCCGTCCATCACACCACGCAAGGTCAGTGTGGCTGAGCAGGTACCACTCCAGTATGATCTCCATTACTGGAAATATGACTTATTCAGTCTAAAAATTCAGGTATTTAATAAAAGACCTCAAAATCCATCCTAAGATATTTCAGTAACTGATCATGTTTCAGAAGAAGTTTAACAGGTGTCCCTGCCCATGGCAGGAGGTTGGAACTCGATGACCTTTAAGGTCCTTTCCAACCCAAACCATTCTGTGATTCTATGATTCTATGACAAAAGTTCCTATGAAATCAACAGAAAATGCGGATCTCCTGCCTAGGTCTTCAGAAGAATCTCTACTGTGACATTCAGCGTGTAACACTGAAGCAGCTAAGCACCCCCAAATTCCAGAGCCTTTGGACTGAAAAACCCAAACACATCCCCTCCCATCCCCTGGCAAATGCGGCCACCCCCACTACCACCAACAAAACATCACACACACAACACACTAGCAAAACCCCCTACATCCTCCCTCCCCCCAAAATTTTACATAAGTCTAAACTCTTTTTAAACATCTTGGCCCAACACTTCAAGGGAACATGCCACATATTCACACGTATTTGTGCTTAAAAAAAAATAACCGGGACACAGTAAAATACCTAAGAACATACAAAGCAGCCTCCGTGCACCATTCACAACACACTGTCCACAAACACCAAATAAATGAAGTAAAGGAACCCACCAGCCGCTGTCCAGCAAAACCCAGTGCAACAAGGCACTGAAACCAAAGTGCAGGCACCCAGCGAAGAGGAGTTCCAGCAACCTCAACACGGGATCGGGCAGGCTTTGTAGGCAACAGTCCATCGAGATAATACCCAACACTACAACCGGGCAAAACGACAAGGAATGGGGCATTGACAGCAGACAAACTGCACTGGCAACTGAAGACTCGAGTACGGACGCGGCATCGGATGTCTCTGCCCTGGTTCAGCTTTCCAGGGACAAGCTCTCCTGGAGGAATGAAAGCAGCTCAAGAAGCACAGCAGGCAGAGATCTTCGGCTCCGCTGGACACGTAACACAGAGTAAGCTAGGTCTTTGCCCACTGTAAATCCTGAGATCACCGATGTTTTTTTTTAAAAAAATCTCTGCAGTGGCAGTCATACTTGAACCTTACTGTCAGGAGCTGAGCGCGAAATGCAGAAGCAGCAAATACACCAGCCACCCAAATGACCCTATTCTCCCGAAGAGCCTTGAGTTGCTAATAAAACAGCCCAACACTCACACCCTCCAAAGCTCCCACTCGTGCTATTTGAATCAGTGAAGTGAAGTGATCAGTCAGACAACGTATCTCGGCACTAATATATGACAAATGACATTTGGGACATAGTGTTTGATCAAACCCATGCATTCCAGTTACTACAAAACCACCATTTTCTTCCTAAGGATCCCTTCACCACAAGAAAACTCCTTTTCATGAATCCCAGGTGTATATATATCGGGAAAAAAAAGATTAAAAAAAATTAGTAGGTTCGTTTTACATCTTTACATATTGACCTTTCTCATAAAGATAACAATTTGTGCCATATTACTTTAAAAAGAATTAGTAATGTAACTTATGTCTAATAATACTGAGCCTAGTCATGTAATCTCTTCTACACCATCTTTCAAAAACACCAGGAGAAATCAATTGTTTTGTAAATTATAAAAAGTCCTCACTCGGTCAGCAGCTACCAAAAGCCACAAATGTTGCTCGCTTTAGTCAAAGACATCTAGATCTACAGCTAAGGAAAAATTCATCCTTTTACACTTCAAGACACTAAGATTTTTAGCACTACAGGTAAATCTGCAAGAGGCTCAGTTCATTTAGTTACTGTCGTGGGTTAAGCACAGACTGCTTAAAGTTAACTCTGTTAATTTTTTTTTCCTCCCTCTTCTTCATAAATAGCTAGCAAGAGGCTGTGTTTTGGATTTATGCTCAGGACAGGAGCTGATAAGACCGATGTTTTGTTCTGCTGCCAAGGTCAGCAGACGAGCAAAGAGGCACAGCCGGTTGCTAGCATAGGATTTGCCCTTATGTTAAGACTGAAACTCAGAACAGCCAATGATCTATTCCATATCATGCACATCATGCCCAGTATATAGGTAAGAACACTCGGAAGAGTGCTTTCTTTTGCCTTCGCTGCGCTTTCGGTTTCGGTGCTCTCTTCTGGCTCCGCATCGCTCTCCCAAGGCCTTTTCCCCCCCCACACACACACCCTGGTCAGTTCTCTCAGCCTGGGACGCGTAAATCGTTATCTCCGCTCCGTGAGTTTTGGGATCCTCCCTCTCTGGGGGAATCGTTAGCTGCGGCCAGGTGGTCGTTTTTCCCCCCACTATGGTCAGCTCTCGGTCCGGGACGCTGGGACTGTTATCTCCGTTCCATGAGTGCCTCTACGCAGCACAAGCCCCGAAAGGACTATCACACAGCTCCCGGACAGCACAGGCGGTGCTGGCCCAGGTCACCTGCGTGAAGGGTGACACTCTCCCCTCCCATCAGAGCCGGGTGCTAAGGGGCAAAGCAGACTCTGCCACCAGACATTTCTGAGAGCTGGCAGCGTTCTACGATATTTCCTTACGAAACCAAGCAGGGCAACATCAAAAATGCAAAGAGAAGTTTAAATGTTAATTTCTAATAATCAGTTATAAACCTTCAGACATGCAGGGGATAGTCATTCGCGTGGGTTTTTCTCCCTCAGCACAAGGGCAGACCAGGCAGCTCCTTTCACTCGCTAACCCACCCAGATGTCAGCTTTTATTTCTGTCTGCGCTATTCACCCTCAACTCCCTTTATACACCATGGAGTAAGAAAGTCATTATCTTCCAAAGCCGACCAGCGCCCCAGAGGTGGCTCTCCCTCCGCGCACTCTAAAGGAAGCACAGGGTGAAGAGCTCAAACCCCGTCCTCGAGCTTTAGCTGCTCCGTTACGACAGGACTCTTCAATTAGCTGCAAAAACTGGAACGGCTAATAGAGGGCTCAAGCATTAGAGCAACTTCAGCAAACCTATTTGCCTTGTAAACTTGGAGACATTTTAGCACAAAATCTACATTCGTTGAAAGATGAAATAACAAAAAAATCTTAATCCTGGCCAGCAAAAAGGAAGGATCCCTTCAGCAGAGATGCTGGGTTATGGGGTCTGGTGGGATTTTGCTGACAAGGGAACTGCACAGGCACAGCTCTACCACAACTGGAGAAAATTATGATCCCAAACTAAGAAGCACCTGGGAAGCTTAATGGGGAGACAGCCAAATAAATGGCCAGGAAAATAGCTTTTTAAGAAATAATATTTTATGTTATGAAGTCCCATCCAGAAAGCAGGACTGTAGATCCTGATCTACGATTTAAGTTAGACATGTGCTCTCCTACAAACTCTTCTCTCACACACCTGGTAAAGCTTAACATTGGCTTTTTAATGAGACATAAGACAACAATTGCAGGCACCGAGAAGTCTTTGAAAAGTTACTTCTTACCGAAAGGAGGTAGTCCATAGGTTTGGGTGGTCTGGGGGTAGATGGTGTAGGGCTGAGACTGCTGTAGTGCTTGGTACTGAGTCTGACCAGGGTAAGGGCTCATTGTTTCCGATACAGGTACAGAAAGGATATGTGCATATGGCCTTATTAAAAAGAAAGAAGTAAAAAAGAACTATTTACATTATGCATCTTTCAGGCTCCAAACCAGCAGACACATCAAAAAACTGCTTTAGAAAGAAGAACCAATACCCACTGACATGGGCTTTTAGTGCTCCTGTGTTTCCCAGCCCAACGGGCTCTCAGTTCTGCTGCCTGTTTCCGGCAGTGACGCCAGGGGAAACTCTCTCCTCCGTGATGCCAGAGCACCAGCACTCACTCCAGGACCGGGAGGGCAAGGTGAGAGGGGAAAAACAAACTCCCCGTTCCAACAGGCATGAGCAATTAGTTTCACTTATCGTGCCCCACCATACCAAATCCTAAAGCCAATACAATATCCCAGCATGTGTGAAAACTACGGGAACACACACAGAGACCACACGAGCAAGCATGGGGGATTAAGGCCAACTATGCTGCAATGGGAGGAATTATGAAGATCCCCAAACGTGGTGAACAACAAGAAAACACTGTATTCCCCTTATATTCATTTATGTCCAGTTTGTTTATTCTTCAACTATTATGGGCATTATTCAACAAGACTATTATGTCGTTAGTTACTTGAAGGGGCTCAATTATCCCTGTGATCATAAAACAACAGCCACTGAAGCCAAAGGCTGACTGCTATCAGCTTCACTGTCTGCAGCAATGAGTCTGCAGTTGCCAGCAGATATGAAAGCGTAATTTACAGCATTACAGAAATGCATAAAGATGCAAAAAGATTACTTCAGAAAGAAGTAGGAGTTACAGAATTTAGTAACAATTGTTCAACTTACTTTGCAGAATACATCTGTGAGGTATAATCATTTGATGACCTTGGGATATAATCAGTGCATGTCAGAACTGGAAAAAAAAAAGGTTTGTACAATTACACAGGCAATTTCAAAATGCAACAAATAATGGCAATCAAATATCAGCATGCACAGCGCATTTTAACCAAGACATAGAATAGGTTTTTTAGTGCCTTCAATATCTGTTTCAAAGCAAATTCTCAAAAATTGCATTGTTAAAATGGCACCAAAATGTTTTCCTTGCCAATTCACAGCAGGGAGATGATTCAGTCAACACTATTTCTCCCTTTGTAACAGTGCTCTTTACCAGCTGGTACCGTCACCTTTTGCAACTGTCATGATAGAACTTCGATTTCAGCCCTGCCCAAAACCTTGCATAGGCCAAAGGGTCTTCATCCGTGCCAAGCTTAACATTTCTGTGCCCCAGAGCAGAGACCAAAGCAGACACTTGTTTTGCCAAGCTTTCCTCTTCCTCTTCCCTTTTCTCCATACTCTACCCAGAGCGTGGCTCCAGCAACCTGTCTTTCCATTAAAAAGGAACGGCTCCCAGCTCAACAAACTTGTTCCCCCACATCAAGCGACAGCAGGCCGAGCTGCAGCGCACAAGGCTCCGAGTCCAAATTCAGGTGACCTCTAAAGAAATTTGGCAGTTAGATTTGACAAGATGTTTCCATTTTCCTGCTTGAATAAATCCACAGCAACTGCACTCTGTTAAGAGTCACTCGGGCTGCAAATCCAAGGAGGAAATCTTTAAAATCGTCTCACTTAGCATCTCCCATGGCTCTTGGATACCCCCTACAGACAGTTCCCCACTACAGTGTTCTGGGCTGGGCTGGAGAAGCGGGCTCGAGTCGGTCTTAACCCAAGAGCCGTTAAAAACCCCTGGATTCAAAGTGATCAAATGCAGTGATCTCCAAGCTAGATGATTTTTGTGACAGTAAGTCTGCACAGTACATGGGTTTACGAGTCTGGATCTACAAGCAGCTTACCCGAATTCCTAGCAAACACAGCTGTGCTGCTGTGGATCCAGTTTATTCATCTGAACCCAGTTTGGAAGCAGGCAAAGCCCCCAGCCCTGCCCAGGAGAGATCCAGGATCTCTTGGATGGGTCCAGGGACCTGGCTCCTCCATCACTAATGTCACAAGAGACTGCAATTTCCCTTTCCCGTCTGGAGTAACTCAACTAAAGGTCTTCAAAAAGAAATATGGTCACGGATGAGAGCACACTTTGCCTTGGGATTTGCTCCAGGTGTCAGAGATGTGCTCCAACAGGTTGGGCTCTCCCTGTCTGGAACAGCCTTACAACATTATTGCTCTCGTATCACCAGGTAGTTAAACTCTCTTTTCAGTTACATTCACTAAGGGGAGCAAGTTAGTTTGCACAGGCAACCCTAACTCTAACATTTGCATTCTGCTACCGAAATAAACCTCCTCTTAGGTGTAATGTGAGCATGAGCAGCTGAGAAATACAAACAATAAAATACCATACAAGTGTTTGCCTTTACTCATGGGGTGAAGCCCATGTAGCACAAGGATACAACAGGAAATGCAAACTGGGAACTTTCAGACCTAAAGGCTTTAATTCAATACTTGTCAGATATTCTCACATCCCTCCTGCAAAAATGTCTGTCTTTTCTTATTCTCTATTTTTTAAAGAATGTCAATATCCAACCAAATAGTAATGTAGTAATGGCATATAAGGAATTAGATAATGGTGTAAAAAAGAAAAAACCCACAATATTACTGCATGCAATTGCTGGAATTTGTAAATTACTTTTCCAGTTAGGCAGCAGATTTTGCAGGCTGAAACTTCTGGTAAGTCTTGCAACTGCAACATCACAGCACATTGATTAAAATAGTAAAGATGCAATCAGTTAGCAACAGAAAGTTACACATTGCATATCTGCAATGAAGTTGAGCTGATTTACACTTATTTATAAGTACGTGCAGTCAAAGGTATTCCACACAGGAATCCTACTTTCATAATAACCTCCAGCTGTCTTTTTCCAGAAGAAAGGATACATTCCACCTCTCACTTACTATGCAGTCTTTTTATTTTCTGCCTCAGTTTCCCCTCCATTTATTTCATAAGGAATTTCTGCAGACATTCAACAGAGCTCAGAGTCTAAGACTGAATGAAGAGCATACTATTGCAAAGACCCAACCAGCTGTGTAGAGATAAGGATTTATAAAAATAACAGCTTTTACAATAGGCGTTACTACTGATCAACTCAAGCCCTTCCCTCAAGAAAAATCATGTATAAGGTGGAGAAGACACAGCCGTACCCAGCAGCAAGTTGGGGGGCAGTGACACAAAAATAGTTGACAGAGATATTTGCTTACTGTCAGCCTACACAAAGACGGGCATTAACGCTTTGTAAGCGCCACAGCAAACTTCCACCTTACAACTGATAGTGAAGCCAGGCTAAGGATTACAAGGAGGAGACAGAGCTTGAGCTTGATGAAGCAAAGTAACGAGACCAGGGGAAAGACAGTGGGAGCAGAAGAACTGCAGAAGATACTTACTCTCACTGGACATGGGAAGGTTTGAACCAAGGCTTGATGATTCAGGTTTCTGATCGCTGACTTCTGTGTTGCTCACATGACTGCCAGGACAAACAAAGGCTAAGCGTTAGCGTTATCAATCCTTAAATTAACATCCTCGGGCATCTTAACCCCTGGATTCAACCTTCACAATCAAGACAAACTGACTCTTAGAGAAGCGAGCTCTGCGCTCTGATATTTCACACTCAGATCCCAATTTGCAGCTCTAATTAGACATTAAAGTGTCATCACCTCCAGCACCTTTACTCACCAACTGGTCTCTCAAGATAAGGCTGTAGCTTTGCTGACAGCTCAGCAGACCCAGCAGCTTGGCACTACCGCCTGCAGCGGAAAGGATGAATTTCTTTCCTGGTGCCTGGGCACGGCCCCCCTGCGGCAGCTCGGGCACCCTTCGGGCTCTCCAAGAGAGTTCAATTTGCTCATCCAGCACAAACCCCATGCAGGTATTTTTGCTGCAATACTGAATCGACTCAGCTCATGGAGGGATCCAGCAAGCACACACTTGGTGCACACGAGCTACAAGCAGAACTCGGGCTCTCAGCAGCAATAAGCAGCTATACGGGGTCCTTCACCTTGTAAAACTGCAGCTGGAGAGTATCAGCATAACACACAGATGCCTCAAAACTTCATGAACAGTTATACTGCAGAACTAGCAATAATAAAACTAAAGCAAATAAGGCAACCACCGAGGAGGTGCGGCTTTCCTGGGACAGGGTACGGGGACAGCTGGCTGGTGGGTGCCATGGGTTCGGTTACAAGGCAACTGATTTCCCTTCCTTCGGCTGGTGAGAGGGCGCGAAGCTTAACCAAAATGCGTACCCTGGCTTTCCCCCCCTGAAAACCTTTATAGACAAAATCTTTGGAAATCTTTCTCAATGCTAGCAGCTGAACAGACTTCCATAATACAGTGCCAGTTTTGCAAGAAAATAACACATTTCTACAAAGACTCAGGGTATTTGTCTACTATTATTCTTGGTGGAAAAAACCGCGGTGATTCCGCAGCACAGACACTCCATCCGTGGCTGTCAGATGGCATGCAGCTTGCAAGCAGGCTGAGAACCTGCTTGGCATCACTTCCTGGGGGAAATGCAATAGACAAATAACATTTCTGACCATACTATACTAGCCCATGTTTCTGTTGTCTTTCTCACTGCTGCTCCTCAACACATGCACCCGTGGCTCTTGGGACACATCCAGCCCATGTGCTCTTATCCTCCATCGATTAAAACTTTTCAATTCTCACTGGCTCAGAGAAAAATTCTCACTTGCACTGTGGCTGCCTTGCACCACCGAGAGCGTCCCGCAGAGCAGCCCGACCAGCAGAGCACGTTGGACTCACAAAGTGTTCAGACTCTTACGGATGCTTAATGCTCCCAAGAGACGACCCTCACTGGGTACTACAGCTCTTCCCTCCCCCATTTCCACATCCCAGCAGAGACAAACAGAGCCAGGGTACTGACAAAGGCTGAAAGTCATGTTGCTGAGGAGCAACGGATCTAATTAATTAAACTATTCCATAGGTCAAACTTAAAATCATCTCTAGTTTTTATCAAAACGGAGCCAGAATATTTAAGCAGATTAGAAATTCCATTTCAGCCCTCCCTCCCATTCTATTTTTAAATACTATACAAGGAAGTTTACACTCAATTGCTGCAGGAAAGCTGTCACTGCACTGAGGCACGGTAACGCACTGAAGGAGAATCGACACCATTCCCTCTGGCGCGTTCAGACCTGCCTGTGCTGCCCTCAGCTCCCTGGCAGCCAACAGAGAGAAAAAGTCCTCCCAGGACATGGTTCATCTCACCTCATCCTGGCTAGAAAGGGAGCTCGCAATGATCAGCTCGAATTTCTAACTTTCAGATGTGTAATGAATTTCACGCACAGTTTGCTCACCGTTTCCTGTTACAGTATTCCCTTCAGTTTTTTTTTTAAAGTACGTACTAAAGTCCCCATTCAGGGCTTCAATGTACCATGTCCACTCCTGCAAGAATGGCACACACCGTGTTTCTTCCTCACTCACATTGGGATTTCACAGAAAGAAACCCTTCTTCACTGCTACTGCTCAGAGGAACAGAATAAACCCTACTATAGCTATTCTCACGACATATAATAATAATGATTAATTCTTAAATATGATATAAATCAGAAAGCATCTACTGAGGCTGAAAATAGTACAATAGAACAGCTTTAAACAGAAGAGGCTAGCGATTTGAGAGCGTTTAATTTCTCAAAACATTTATCCACATAGTTTTGCTAAGAATCATAGCACCAATACCACTAAAATATTCTGAATAAACCAGAATAAACGCATGTTATGTGCAGTACATGACAGTCACATCAGATTCCGTGGAAAACAGGATGCTTGATGATGCAGTTAAGACTTTTAGTAGTCACTTTTACAAAAGCTTAGTACCAAAGGGCCACTTATTGGGAACTTAATCTCAACATTCTATCAAATACAAAAGGGACTTATACTTGCCCTGTCTCTGTGAAAAATAAATTCTAAAATGGAAGCATACAATAATAAAAGAACATTAATTAACATACCTCACAAAATCAAATTCAAAATTACGTACCTCAAGCTTTGTTCTCTGGATTCCTGCATCTTGGCTTTTTTCACCTGCAAAGACACACAGAGTCAGAGACACAACTGATGAGAGCCGTCCTTGGCAGAATCTGTGCACACAGACCTCCACGAGCAGACCACCGCTGGTTACTATAGAGTTGGCATTAAATACAAAAAGCCTTGCAATGAACTCCAGAGCTAACCAGTGTAACCATGGGCTCTTCATCTCAAAACAAGCTTCTTCCGAATTAGAAAACAAGTGCTAAAGCTGAACGTGTTAGCAAAATTGCCATGTTATTTAAGTAAGTAACAGATGATGGGATATACAGCTACAAGCATCTGACAAGGACAATTTTATAGAATTGAATAAAACAGCCATACATTTTAAGAAAATATTATTCTGCACAGACCTAGCACAAGAGTCATAGATGTGGGTCCTTTGCTTTTTTGACCCTATATTTAAATATTATATAGAATGACAGAATGGTTTGGGTTGGAA